AGGACTGAGTTGGGTTGATAAGTCGAAAATTTCTATATCCACCACAGCAACTACAGGGATGGACAAAACATGACTGCTCTGTTAACGGGAGGAGAATCACAGCAACAACAGTCCTGGTCCTACTGTAAGAAGCCAGCTCCATTTACACTCAACAGCGGATATTCAAAGCTTGCGCCAGTCAGGAAAGACAGAAAGGTATTATGGCTTCCATAATCATCCCTTCTATATCTGAATGTATACATGTTTCACATACATGTGTCTACACATATGCTTCTCTGTAAATGAAACAGATGATGAATAATATAGTCTGTGTCATTTATTTAATGCTGTTCCCATGTCTTATTTTGTCAGTACGCGGTAGAATGTTCTATTGAAAACAGACTACAGAATTTCCTAAGAAAAGGAGTCAATTGACTTTGGATGTTTAGACGAGAACTTGAGGAGAAATAAGATAGTGAGACAAAAGCATTAGATGCAAATGTCAATGAAATACACCTCTCATCCACAAACCACTTGAAAACATTTGATATTCAGGTTTCACAACTAACACAAATTGTTTAAACAAGGCAATTTCTTCGTTCAAAAAGTTGGTCTATAAAAAAAATATTACTAGGTCACTTATTCAAGTCATACTTTAAAAACACTTTCCCTCCCCCTTTGCTCTTCTACTTTGAGAGCTTGTTACATATTTATTCGGTTGAAAAATAATTAAAGATATTGCGTTAAAGGTTTTACAGGTAAGAAAATATGAAATATGAAAATCAGAAAGATATGGGGCTTTCTAAATAAATAGCTACCTGAATGATACTCCCATACAATTCCTAATCAACTAATGAGGTGAGAGAAATAATTTAACAGGTCTTTGATTATCACAGTTGCCCCAGTACTTTCATTGTATGATTAAAGATTAAATACAACATAGAAGAAAGAAAAAACATTTTATAATTTTGTGTCTAAAGCCACACTAGAATTTTAAAACACTCTAGTCTTAAAATTCTTTAAAGTTCTCAGATGATATTATATTAAATTAATTTTAAAATAACAGAAAAACAAGGTTCCAGATTGTACATGAGGCAAAAATTCTTGAAAATATTTTTGTCTGTGGTTTGTTTCAAATAAATCTGTGGACAGGGATTTATAGTTTTGTAATAAGTAAGCTTGAAGTTTCAGGTAAAGAAAACATTATCCAATTTCTCTCCTGCTGATTTTTAAATTTCAGATTGGGGTTGCAAACTCCCTCCCATCAACAACTGGGATTACAAATTCAGTTTTCACTTGACTATCCCTAGTAAGTTTAAGTGAATCAGAAACTATAAATCAAGGATATAGTATTTCCCAAACGCAAGTAAAAGAGTCACAGCTAAAATACAGAACAAAAAAAAAAGTCTACCAGATCTTAATGAGGTAAAGTACTAGTATCTCAGTGGGGAGGCAACTAAATTGGGTGATTACTCCAAGATGTCACACTGAGGTCTGGCAATTTATGAGAAGATGAATATTTAGATTAAATTAGTAAGTGACAGCCATAATGCTATATTTAGAGCTTTGAAATATCTAAACAATTTCAAAGTGTTCAGTTATGTAAAATTAATTTGTACATTACTGTATTAAAAATACTTTCTTTTTTCAAATCAGAAAAGTGTGCAAAGTGCAGTTTGCAAATAGGAATAGTTTTTAAGAAAAAGAGAAAATAAGAGGAGAAGTTCTGACATTGCTGCTACTTTTTATGTGATTTCAGCTGCATTACTGGGTGACTGGAGTTACAGACTTAAGAATGTGGTTAAGAAAGATAATGAGAAGCAGACATGAGTATGAAAAATTGAAGGTAATAACCAACTTTGTAATTGAAAAATCATAAGAAGTTCACATCAAGAAACTGAGAAAAGCAAAGATCAGCAGAAAGAATAATTAATGTACTGTTGTGATAAAAACACAAAACAAAGATCTGACTATTCCTGTATAATGGCCATTGCAAACTACTTAATAGCGTTGTATATGGGATGGATATTTTTATATATCCATTTTTATATAATATAATGATATATTACATCATCTCTCAGATATTAAAGTTTTCAGCAGTGAATACACCAGACAACCAAAGACTGAAAAAAACCTCAAACCCAAATCCTCCTGGCATATTTATTTACATTAAACCTATGTAGTATAACTTGATGTCTCTAAAATCTGCCAACATTAGATCTCAGAATTTTTCAAGTATCCTGAACACCACTACTCTTCCTTTGATCCTGAGCATTGTCACTGATAATACTGATGCAAGTGAATTTTAACTGTGTCCCCTCAAAATGAGCCCTAGCAAAAGCACAAAAAGAAAAGAGCAGAGGACAACCAAACCAGAGTCAGAGAAGAAATTCTCCCATGGAAGATGACAATGGACTTTCCATTTAGTAGATAAGCACAGCAGAACCTCAGCCAGCAACCACATTACATCTTCTTAATTTACCTCCCTTGTCCAATGAGATCTTCAAACGGAAATACAGGGCTTGTAGCTAAACCCAAGTGGAAACTGTGAAAGCTGTTCAGTTTATTTAGGGTGGTGGGTATTTCACCTGAACAGAGCATGCAGGACTCCAATCTCCTTCACAGAATTTTCTCATCATTATATTACATTAACTCAACAGAAGAAACCAGTTACCATCTCAGGGGTAAGCTTGCACTTTTCTTTCTTGCACAATCTCAAATTTGATATTTTGCATAGAGAGAGATATTTTCAACAGTGACCGGGGAAAAGTAAACAAGAAGTTACTGCCGGTGTGAAGTAGAATCAAGTTTCAACCCTCTCCAAATGGTCTTGCTCTGCCAAAGAGCATCCACACAGACTCAGTGGGATGAAACTATCTAAAAAAGACGGATGCAGGCCAAAAAAAATATCTGAAGCCATTAGAGAGGATAAAAAGATACATTTGAGAAATAGTGAGGGGTAGGTATCAGAAAGATATTAATGAGCTGTATTATGATTGAAGGGCCTGGGTTTAGAAGGGAGACCAACCTGCTCAGGACAGCAGTTTGAGCTGCTGCTACAGCTACCTGGGAGGGATTCAGGACTTCTAATATGCACTGTCTTTTGCAGGCAGATATGAGCTTATTTTGCACGAGCTGACCAGAAGCCATTCTGCTATGACAGCATCCCATTAAGCGCTTGGTAGTAAGCCTTGCTGCAAAGCAGTGTGTATTAGATCAGGCAACGTACCCTTCTCACGTGGCCCCCAGTCCTCAGGCTGACCCAGAATGCAGGCTACAGTAAGCTCACATCAGTTTGCAAATGGGCGTGCACATACACTCACAAGGAAAAAAAAAAAGAAACAAGAAAGATTTCAAGACCAGTGTGCAATGAATCCATCAAGTAAGAGGTAGGAAAAATTGAAGTTTGCAGGATCAGGGATGAACATCGGTCCCTGAGAAGCAGTTGAGAAAAATTAACAGGAAGATGGAGCTTATGGTGAGGGGGGATCAACACTGGACATGCTTGTTCAGAGAGGGGACACTAAGCCCCAAGTTAGCAACAGATGTTTCTTCCAGAGGCAGCTTTTTAACTGAGACACATTAAATACTGGAAATGTGAGACTTTCAATGTAGCAAAGGTCTTCATGTAAACACCTTCTGTCACCTCCTAGTGATTATGGCAACTTCTTTTTGGTAGTGATTTGAATGCAATGCAACACAATTGTACCATAAAGTCTTTTAAAAAAAAGTAAAGACAACTCAGGCAGAAATACCTGGCTTCAGTCACATACCCCAAGACAGCTGGTATTCAGATAATCACAAGTCAAATACTGCAATACTGCATTTAAATCCTTAATTGCAATATGGAAGTTATTATCTTCTATCTTTCATTCTCTTCTGATTGCATATAAACTGTCAATAATATTTATTGCTTTTTCCCTTAAACTTTTCAAATATAACTTTGAAAAGGAAGACATTTCATTTGATGAAAAAGCACAAAGACAAAAAGGTGCTTGCTACAGATATGTAAAAAATACTGCTATTTGACTTTGCCTCCTATCAATTTCCTTTTTTATTTAGTTCTTTAATGTATATCTGCTTTAGATGCAGCATACAATATAGATTGCTTTACTGGCACATACTATTCACTATGTTACTTTCTGTGTTGTATGTAAAATTATTTACTAATTAGCTTTTATGTCTCTGGGATAGATTACAGATTATTTTCTCCAATATACCTGGAGAAAAAAATCTACACTTGAACAAACCTGTCTATTATCTTAAAACATTTCACAAAAATTATATGCACTGGAATTCAGAAATTGCTATGACTCAGTCCTTTAGTAAGATTTTATCAGAACTGAAACTCTTCTTCTACTTTCATTCTCACATCTACAGTGACTTTTAGGAATGGACAGATCAAATTGCACATATTTATATAAATGCACTTTTGCATTGCATATACAAATTTGGCAAAGAAACACAAATATAAACAGTTATCATATTTGGTAAGGATCTATTTAAGTCTTTTGGTTGAAAAATGTTAAACTGGTTGGTCTCTTATCAAAATTGTCATCTTCCCAGAACATAAAAACATCTACTTTATATATTTTTCACATTATCTCAACTCCAGTAATGGCATCTGGAACCTTTAAGACATGTTACTTTTTGTGAACATCTTTATTATTTTTTGTACTGATTAAGTTGGATGTAATTGTGAGAACATATTGACTTTATTTAAGCAATTGGGGAAACAGGAAAAATCTACAAGGGAGAAAATATATGTAATATATAAGCTGGGATGAAAGCAGCTCAGAAAATAAAACAGGAAAACTCCAACAGCCCTTCTAAAAATTGTTTTTTAATGACATGAAGCTTGTATTCTAATTAATTTCCAGCTTAAATTTACATCACTGGAAGTCATCATCTTTGCTGACAGACAAACCAATTATTTCATTTATAGATGACTAAGAATGAGAAATACCAATTCAAACAAAAGCAAGATAATTAAGCTAAAGCAAAGGTTTTGAAGCACTCACCTTAGGCACCCAGTGGCATTGCGCAGCACCTGTGATGAATGGAGCTGTATTTTATGATCATCCTGAAGTGGAGAGTTTTCCCACCCAGAGTGAGGAATGATCACTGCATTGGTCAACACTGCAAGGGCATCCTGGATGATTGGCATTTTCAGTGCATCACAGGAGGATAGATTCCAGAGAACTCCTACAAAAAATAAAATGAGTAACAATTAACACTTCTCCAGAACAAGTCTGAATGCTTTTTTGTTTAAAGAAACCAAATCCAAACCAATATATTTCACCGCATTGGTGTGTTTAATTTAGTTGTTTCTATCAAAAATAAAACAGACTACATTGTAGATGGGGCTGAATGACACCTGCAAACTTTTGCAGTGGGAACACAGCTTTAAATACAAAACATGTAGTCACAGCAGTGCTGGAAATTTCTCAAGAGATCTGCCTAAAAACTGATTTAGGCCTACACAGGGTGTGAAGCACACATGGAGTGAAGGAGTATTACAAAGAATTTTTTAGGGCTTGGTCTTCAGATATCTTCCTTTTAAGTAAAACTAATAAAAACTAGTAGCAGCCAACAGGTTCTGATTTACACTAAAACTTTCACTGTTGATAGATACATGTTGAGAGAACAACACCTCAGCCCTGTGATCTTCACTGTAATGGAAGTAACTATCTAGGCTTGTTGGTAACCACAACCAAAAAGGCTTCCTCCACAACCTGATACAGTAGTACTTTCCCAGACTTCAGCAAATAATACTATATTTTGTAAATATTTAACTATACAAAGTTACAGAATACTGTGATTTTTACATGGAAACAGTAAGCTTAATAGTGCAACTAACAAGGAGATTTACTGGAGTTTAAAAAAACCAAAATCCCTTCTGTTGCAATTCATAACATGCCAAAGAAAAAGATGAGAAATCAAGAGCCAAAGTTCTCAAGGCACATCTGCAAAGATCAAGGTCACTGCAATTGTGCCACACAGAAAGAAGTCAATAAATTGTTGCCTTGCTAGGAGCAGAAGAAACCCTGCTTTCCATTCCCATATTTATGTGTTTGTGTATTTGCTGGAAAAGCACATGTGACTTGTGCTGTTCCAAGAGCCTGATGCTGCTGGGCAGCTCTTATTGCTGGGGAAGCTGAAGGACAATTTGCTGTTCTGAAGAACCAGTCTTTATTTTAGCTCAGCACCCTCCTAGGAGTAGCTGGAAGAGGAAGCCTGCTTCATCATGACTATCCCCTTGCCAACATGCATTTTCTTCCATAGAATCCAATCCTACTCCTCCCTATTCTCCTTCCAAAAGGACAGCAGCCTGGACCCACATCTGACTTTGAATGTCAGAACTGAATTTTGATTTTACATCTATAAAAGTTTTCAATCAAAATAGAAGAATTATTACCATCATCATCATCATTATCATCATCATTGTATATAGGTTACAAATACAAACCCTAAAAAAATCCGAGTGTTTAAGGAGGAAAATGCTGAAGGAAGGCCTTAGGAACACAGACTCAGACATTTATAAATATAAGCAGCAAGAACACTACTTGCTCAAGGCTTTCCTTAGCAGTCTATGCTTTGACAGAGCAGTGTAATTAACAGGAATCAACTTACACTTTCATGTTTACCTTTAAAATTAATTACCTCTATTACTGAATCAGCTGGGATAAATCATACCTTGGATGGGGTTCCTGACACGGAGGGAATAAACCTGAGACCACATAAGTACCTTACTTAGGTAAGACCAATAAACCTTCAGAGTAAGAGGATGATGGGATCATCAGGCTAAAATGGCTATTACACCTTCTCCTAAAATGATTTAAAGTCAAGGCAGAAGCAAGCAAAATTTAAGTCAAGGCAGAAGCACTGCTCAGTAATGGAAGAAACTGATGTTTTCTTCCAAGTTTTTGCTCCTGACAGTTTTAAAGAGATAATCTTCCTCCACCACAAAACAATGAGTTTTATCTAACTGTGAGACTGAATACTACCAATCACATGAACCAAAAGTTTTTTGTGACATATTAAAATTTATTCTCACAAGCAGTGCAGTCTGCTACATTCTGATGTTGGCATCTGCATGCCTCCTTGTAAAGAATTTGCAATTATGAAAAGGCACTGGCAATTCACTTCTCACTGTTTTTGCTGAGGATAACCTGGAGCTAGATTTATGTGGGGTCTGAGAAGACAATCCATTGCCTTGACTTTGCAAGGGAGAATGACAATAAAATAAATCCTTTACCTACTACACCTTCCATTACAGAACCACCTTTTCACCACATCATTCTGAACATATTTTCCAAGTGTGCATTCATGACAGGCCCTTTAGGGCTACTGTATGATCTGGTTACTGAGGCCATGTGGCACCTTACCCTGAAAGCCCAGCCTGAACTGGGTTTCTGAGCACAAGAAGCAAGTCTGCAATAGCTTCAGAGGTGCCTTGACTGATCCTTGAAGAATCTGCATTGTCATCAGCTGCCCACAGGAAGAAGGTAAGGGACGCAACTCACCAGTGGCTGATGACAGAAATTGGGATTGATCCAACAACACAAAAGTCCAACTCCACTGTTTACCATCCATAACTCTTGTGATGTCACAGCTGTAGCTTGCCTGTAGCTGCCAAATAAATTTGGCTATATCGGACCCCTAAACTCAACTAGCTTAGAAGTAAAACAAGTCTTTAGATGGGGTAAGGATGGGTTGGATTTCAACCCAAGCAGGGACTTCAGCTAATTATGTTCACTCTAGAAAGCAGATGTATCACTGGTCAGAGAGCTGGGTGGTGCTAAAACTTTGACTAATCAGTTGTTTAGACCTGGGAGTTTTGAATATATTGTACAAGAAGGTTCCGGACAATAAAACACACTGTTTGTTGAGGACCCTCAGGAGTTTTCTGTAGTTTCTGTCTCCAACCAGTGACCCCTAATGTAGTATTGTGAGAGGTATGAAATAAAGAACTGATCAGTGTTGAACACATCTTAATCACTTTCATTCATATCTTATCTCCTTCTTGCTTTTAAAGCTGTAAGGCATTCAGATTAAGCATTTTGTGTCCCCATTTTCAGATCACTTTTGGTTGTATTGTAAAACTTGTAGAAAGATAAAACAGACTACACCAGACTGAAGAAGTCTCTTTGCAGGTTGAGGTTTTTCACCCTTACATATAATAAATGGAAATACAATGAAAAAGTATCTTGCAATCACATTTTAAGTTTAAAACTGAGGAGCAACTGGTATTGAAAATATTCATTTAATTCCAGTTAGAAGATGAATTTTGAGTCTGAGTATTAGTCTAACAGAGATCACATGAAGGATTCTGAGAGGAGACTAGAGGAATGGTCATTCTGGAGATCTTACTGCATCAAGTTGCATCTTCTGGAGCAGTTTACCAGAGGATATGCAACTACTGTGGTCAACGGGTTGCTCAATTTAATGGAGCAGTCAGAGTGAAAACCCCATAATCTCTGAATCAGACTGGAAATCAAACTCATGCTGATAAAAAACTTCAATGCATTTTTGTGCTGGTGTTTTAGTTAGAACTGGTATATGGATATCTATAGTCAGATGTAACTCAAGATCTGATAAGCCTCATGCTATCCTTATCCCATTCAAAGTTAAGAAAATAGAGATCATATACATCTATGAAAAAACATACCATCACAGCAAGAGAACATGGGCAAAATTCTAACGAACCATTTAGTTAATGATTTAATGCGACCTCTAATTATGACAAATATATGTATATACATATATATATATAAATATATTGCATACATATATATATAAATACTTTACATATATATAAACAAACCTCTTAGAACAACTTATACTACAAATATAAATGGAAATGAAGAAACTGAAAAAATAATATTTTCGAAAAAGTATTGCCCCTGCCACACTGCCACTATGGTTTTTGGTTTTTCTGTGGTACAAAAGATGTACTTTCCCAAATAAATTATATGGTGAAAAGATTGTAAGTAAACAAATATGATCTGGAGAAACAAGACTTTGATTTCTCTGATTATGAGATGTTTAAGTCAAATTTCAATTATATTAAGATTTTTCTTATTTCATATTCTCTGTAAAAATAAAAATCCAAAGGTATTCCAATGCATCCAGGTTTTCCTTTTCCATCATAATTTAATAGTTTGGTCATGGAGTGACGCAGAAAACCATTTGATAGTGCTGAGAGACTGCATTCCACAAAGAAAGATTAAAGCATTGGCAGGCATTTTTATTTATATGCTGAAGGCACAGAAATACTACCAGGAGTTTCCCTCGTGAACATGACAATTAAGATTGAAATCTGAGTGTTAAATACCCTGCACAGAAGCCAAGCACAAGGGATCTTTTGCTGGAGTCATTAGGAAAGGCATTTTCTACCCCAAGCTCTCAAGAGCTAGTAAAGTCATTTGCTGGCTGCAGCTTGGAGCTCCCACTGTAATTGCAAGGCTGCTCTGCAGAGCTGGATCTGCTCCCTGGCCACAGATGTGAGCTCCCAATAGATCACAGTAGTTCTGCTGCAGAGATGCTGAATATCAACCACAACATTTCTTGATACAAAGTGCAACAAGACTTCACAACCAGCTCAACCATCAAGGTGAGGAACTGGCTTGGTAACAGACTTTCTGTAGGAAAGTGGCAGATTTGAAAAGTTCTGGCACCTGAACAACACACAGATCAGAAGGAATCTCCTTAAAAACACACTGTGGAAGTAAGTTTAAAATTGGCATAACAGACAAGAAACTTCCACCAATTTTCTTGAAATATTTATCGGGTTCTTGAATGATTACCTATGCATACCTTGCTGTAATACACTAATTGATATGCATACAGGTGGTTTGCTATCACATTGAGAAATACTGAGTTTCAATAAAGGCCATAAGCAGACAGGAGCTTATGGAATGCTAAGCAAAGCTGGAGTAGTAATTTTTTTCCCTTTGCATAGCCTTACAAGGGAAAAGCTTCCACAGAGTAAAAGGATTATTATAGTGTGTTTTTTTCTGTTTTATTACAAAAAAGACAGCAGATCTTGACTATATAAAAGTACAAGACTTTATAGTATAAGAAACATAAACATTTCCTCTGAAAAACCAGACCTTTCTTTCTCAGTGTCCTGGGTTGCTTATGATGTTAAATTGTATCCCCATTCGTCCACCTAACCCAGACACAGATTCTGTATTCTTAAA